TAGGTACTACATGTGGACCTCTCTCAGATTTGTTCATTTTGTGATGATATCTTCAATTCTCTAATTTTGGTGAATATTTTTGTCATTTTTGGTAAAAAGTGATATTTTCGACTTCTTGTTGAAAACTGTAAGTCCGATTGCTTTGATATTACATATATAGGTACTACATGTGGACCTCTCTCAGATTTGTTCGTTTTGTGATGATGTCTTCAATTCTCTAATTAATTTATTTTGGTGAATATTTTTGTAATTTTTGGTAAAAAGTGATATTTTCGACTTCTTGTTAAAAACTGTAAGTCCGATTGCTTTGATACTATTCATATTGTTCATTTTCTAATGATGTCTTCAGTTCTTTAATTGAAATGTGCATTGCTAACAGCGGAGCTATCTCAGCCGATAGGCTGCTTGTTTACTTTTACTGTCATGACGGAGAACCAATATGCAATATCCTTGTATCTTTACATTACAGAATAGTGATGATAGTGATCCTGATTGGACTTATGAACCAGTTGTGGGGACGTGTCAGGATCTAGCCAAGCAATATCTTAGATTAACCACTGTGAGTACAGATCACTAGCTTCCATTCATAGTAGACTATTTTGACAGTAAGATTTGATTGTTGTGCTCAAAAACATCTAAAATTAAAATGTGTCAGTCTGGTTTGCAAATACCAGCATGAAATTAGTGTAAAAGTGTACGTAATTTTGCCTTAAGGTTAAAAGTGTCACACTTAACATTGTATTTTACACCCTGTCTGAAAACAGTATCAAACACTATGACTTATTCAATATTGATTATCAGTTGAGTTTTTTTGACAATTTGAAAATGCGACTTATTCTGTATATCATGGATAAAGCTGTTCAAACGATGCTATTAATCTAGTTTTATTTTATTCATTCTCAGGCACCTGATGCAGCTACAGTACGCCCAGTAGAGGTCTTAAAGAAATCACTCAAGATGGTAAAAGAAGACTGGAAAACAAAGTCTGATTATCGATATGCATGCGAACAGTTGAAATCCATAAGACAGGATCTCACTGTTCAGCGTATTAGAGATAAGTTCACGGTTGAGGTTTATGAAACACATGCTAGAATTGCATTAGAAAATGGCGACCATGGCGAGTTTAACCAGTGTCAGACTCAATTAAAAGCATTGTATTCTGACAATTTGCCTGGCAGTGTGCACGAGTTTACAGCTTACAGAATTATTTATTACATATTTACAAAAAGCACTATAGGTATCCTTTTAATAATCAAAATATTTGATTGAACGAGTTAAGTTGAAATATGGGTTCTATGGTTGAAATTAAGCGAATTGTTACCAAAGTGGAAGTCAATAATTTAAGTTTTAATCGCCCTAATAGGAAATTATTGGCTCTGGGGGTTATTAAAACTGTATGTTGACCAATATTCATACTGGTAACTATCTGTTTTATTATATCAAATGTTATCAAGATTTGACCAATCAACATGATGATCTTGAACCTGATGAATAAGAATGTTTATGGATAGTGTGTGATCTGTGATACTATATTTGCTCTATTTGCTCTGTGTAAACTTGTCTTCGGTCAAGTCATTTCTATGATCAACCATACACTAAATGCAATTTTGGGTACCGTTTATGCGCTCTTGTGATAAAGCAAATACAATAGCATGGTGTGATCTATTAGTAGAGAGTAAGTTGCAAAGATCTTTGTAATTTCCTTGACCATAATTTTTTCAGATTTATCAACTGTCATGGCAACACTAAGTCGTGACTTGCAGCAGGACGAATGTGTAAAACATGCCCTCGCAGTCAGATCTGCCTGGGTTCTTTCAAATTACTATAAATTTTTTAAACTTTACCAGAAAGCTCCTAAAATGAGTGGTTACCTTATAGATATGTTCATTGAAAGAGAACGACAGGCTGCCATCAAAACCATTGTCAAATCGTATGTTTATCTTGGTATTCTTATTCTTTGTGTGTCTTTAAAGTATTTCATTTCATTCTTTTATTATAATGCGGGTGTGTGTGATATAGCAGGGGCCTGTTTGACATCACCGGTAAGGTAAGGTAAGCAAAAGGTCTCAAGATGTAGTGATTAGGGTGTGCCGTATATGTCAAGCCTTTTATTGATGTTTGTGGTTTCCAAATTACTTAGACTTGGCACATTGCACTGAAATACACTGAATAACCTGGAATGTTTGTACGAGATACTCTGATACTTTGATAAATTGATAATGAACAAATTAGCTGTGGTGGTAATTAGGTTGTATAACGTACTAGACATTAATTTAACTTTAGGTGGTCAATGTTTTTCCCTTTACAAAAAGCAAGTATAGTACCGCATCTCTAATAGAAGCCGCACCCATTCTTTTTGAACAATTGAGACCCAAAATTCACCATTTCTCATATGTGTAGATGCTCTAATAGAAGCTAATAGATTGTACCATTTTAATGGAAGCCGCGGATTTTACAGTAATGAATGTTGAGCATTTTCATATCAAGGTATTTTGGTAGAGTTTACATTCATACTAAAAGAAAAGTAAAAACTGTTACATGCCTAATTTGGGCAGATACTATACTTGTCACTTACTACCAATTGCCTGCAGGAGAAAGCTTGCTAAATAACTAAATTCTTCATTTAATGAATGCAATTTTTAGCTCATGTGCACTTTCATCAGCAAATACGGTATTGGTGTTCTGGAACAACACTCGCCTGTGCTCTCGTACACTTGTGTATCTCTGTAAGGTTTATCTATGCAATGATAACTAACTTTTAAAAAAAAATGTGGATATTGATAGTACAAAAAAACCCTTTAATATTGTACGTGTAGTGCATTTCCTGGAAGCACGCCCAAAATAAAAACAGGTCAAACAATGTGAATTCACCCATCCCATGAGAAATACTGTTTATTTAAATGGCCGTTCAAACCGTTCAATTTAGAAACATAATTAGGATAACCATAGATAAAAAAAAGTATTCTTGGCAACAAACATTGAACAGTGATTTTATTTTAAGTTTTAAACCTACCAGTAATAAAATATGATAGGATGAGACTGTAATTAACTTATTGATTTGTTTCCTATAACTAATCTCAACTTTTTTTTCAGTTTTTCTGCTGAAAGGTAGGGGCAGTCGGTCACTGTTTTATCCCCCTGTGATATATCTATCATACAAATGTGCTTGTACTAACATGTTTCTTTTTATCATCTTAGATATCGTCCTACAGTTGAAGTATCTGTTGTACAGCAGATGTTGGCATTTCCCGATCTTACAGCCTGTCAGGAGTTTTTAGTTTCAAACGGTGCCATCTTAACACAAGATAAAAGTGTGTTGGACTGTAAACAGAGCCAGTCCACACTCTCCAGTTGATAAATCTCATCCGGGGTATATTTTGAATGGGGGGTTTATAATAATTCTTGCCGCTTTCCCTCTTTATTTTTCTATTCACAAGCCAGTTGGAGTAATGTACAAGTGTGGCTCCAGCACCTCGTTTGATGCAGTCCAACCCCTTCTCTGCCTCCAGCAAAATGGTCTCCCATAGTCATGTGGAGGGATGTTAGAGTGCATCACCATTTCAATGCTACCATGTCGGCACCTATGGTATCCAATCCCAGTCATTGGTAAAGTCTGAAGTATCCTGGTAAACTGCCACACACAACGGCAATTTACAGGTTATTAACCACTTCTCACTACACTTCTAGTATTATCCAGCATAGTCTCGTCATCAGCCCACCCAGATTGATTAGCACCGATGGTTCCTATGTAGATGCCTCATCTGATCTAATGCAGCCAAACAGGATCGTGGTAACTTCAATCAGTTGATAAATGGATGTCCCTCGATCTCCGTTAGTGGTTACATCCAGTACAACTCATCAGTGGTGAACCAAGTTGTTCGTTCACCGACACCATCAGCCCAGCTTGTAAGTTTCAACTCATCCAGTATGTGCTTTCGTTATCTCATTTATGGTGCAAATCTCTTCCAGTTCATACCAATCCTTAGTCCAGCAGAGTAGCTTGCATGCCGTTTCCAGATTATATTCTTCATCAGTGCTGCTCGCTTGAATAAATCCAGCCAGTAGACAACACAGACTTTACAGTAATTTATGATTGAGCCCACATGGCCAGTTATTGTTTATACATTTTTTTTTTTGCCGACACTGACATTGTATATTTATGACTTTGACTGCCCCAACCAACCGACTGACCAACGCAGTATTGTTTGTACATGTTGATTTTATTCGTTTATGCTTTTCATCGTATCAGGTTATAGTTGTTGACATGTACTTTCCATAATTGTAGATATCTCCACCAGCATCAGTATATATATAAAATAAAATAAAATCAGCAAAAATGATAATATAAACTGTTTTGTATGAGTGATATTATGTTTAGCCCATTCAACAACACTTCAGTATTAACCCTTTGGTCACCAATGTCAACTTTTGTCACCATTCAGTAATTTTAAACCCACATAATTTGTTAGTATTTTTTTAAAATTTTGATAAATGTTTGTAGCCAATAAAAATACTAGTAATGTCCATATACCCCAAAAATTGTCAAAAATATTGGAAAAAGGCATGCAAAATTTTGCCAAGAAAAATTACTCGAAGGGATTAAATGATGGATGTGGTTGGATAGTAAAATGTGGAAATTTTGAAAGGACTACAAATTCTATCAAATATAAAAACTGAAACATTGACTTCGCTATTCCCCTATAGTGTTGAACTTTGTCTTGGCAGACATTTTGGATTGATGACTTGACAAAATACAATACAGAAATTATGGTTGTCCAAACCAGCAAACATTTGTCAGAATTAACATTTGTAGTCTTTGAAATAAATATATGTGGCTACATGTGCAAGTGCCTGGCCAGCATTAGTTATCCAAAATTAAAGATTTGGGGACCCCTACTCTATAATGCCCTGGGAAGAACACTCTACTGTGCCCCCCCCCCCTCCCCTGCAGAATTTAGTGTTGTAGCTGTCTTGGTCATGCTTCAAGAGACGAGCTCTGCTGTTACAAATAAGTGAAGTATACGATGGCAAAAGAATGCCATTGACGTAAAATGTATTGCTCGAAAAGTTTGCTTGGAATCTGCATTCTTTATTCAATACTGCCAAATTGCAGTTTCGTAGCTCTATCCGGGTGATAAACCCGAAACCAAGAGCTGCAGAACAGCCATCTTGTAGGCATTCCTGGCAGTCATTTTCTTTGTTTCAAATAAACCTATCTGGTGTATTTGGTATTCAATGATCATGTTGTGACATTTGTGTCTGATAATCAGATATTGCATGTTTCTGTATTACAAAATATGATTTCCTGCAAGGTTACTGTTGCATACATAGCGCCCTCTGTGACGGAATTATTAAATTGATCCATTCACTTAATCACGATGTCCATTGCAGCTAAAGAAGCAATGAAGAAAATTAGTGCATTATTGCGTTGACCAATCAGAATGCACCATTGTGGTTCTTTATATACTGTACACTAAATGTCCCCTTTCAAGTTTAAATTTCAGTATGAAAGTTGTACGAGAACAATAATCAATTCTGAAAGGTCAACGTGCAACAAATGTTCCAGGACTTTTATAGCATATGCAGTTTGAAAATAAGGGCATGGTTCCACTTTTCCCACAAGTTTCATGCACAATAGTTTACATGAGTTGTTGAAGATCTTCAGGGGTATAAGAATATTCGTACATCTAACTTTTATAGACGTAAGGGCCTCCGACTCGTTCGGGGATATAAAGTCATTCCCAAGATAATTTTGGGTCAGATCTTGTATCCCAGAAGAGTCGAGTCGTCTGACTTGATCCTGCACTAACAACTTGCAGAAAGAGAAATTAAAACTTTGATATAGTAAAAATTCTTTTGATTAACTTTTCTGTTAATTTTAACCAAATTTGTATGTTTTCAATGTTTGTGAGAAAACTGCTGGACGCTGGTGTCAAACAAAATTACCTCTTTAGGTACAATTATCAGATTTCATTGAGTGACCGTGGAAACCGGAAATGTCGAATTTATACTATTCTATGAGGGATGAACATGTACTATTTGCGTTGTGAAGCAGATATTGTATGTAGAAAAAAAATCATTTAATACAGGAAAGAAATTTGATTATATCAAATACAAGTGCAGATAATGTCATGTCGGTATAATCTTTCCAGGCAATGTGGGCGTGTCTAATTACGGTGTGACGTCTTTGATACAAAGGCTTCAGTGGACGTAACAAATTTCAATCGCGTGACCGCTGCAGACATCACTCCGGAGTGAATGTCGAGAAATTATACACTTGAAAAAAAAGTAGACAGTTTACATAAGGAAGTCGGCAGTGATGACTTGTAACATCACTTCCGACAGTTTAGGTGTGCGATACGTTGACTGAACAAATTCCACACGCATCCAGCAAGGTTCCATTAATTAGCACCGCCATGAAGGAAGCTCTGACAATGCCACTGTAAATATGTCTGATGGAAAACTGACGACGTGTCGACAATCTAAGGAGGAAAAAAAAATTATTTAGTAATAGTCTTTATATATGTTACAAACCACGTTATTTCTAAAACGCGAAAGTAACAATACGAGAAAAAATTGGGTTTCAATAGCACCGAAAAGAAATGCTTTGGGTGCATCGTAAATTATATCAGAGCCCCCCTATGACTGATTATATGTTGTCAAAATGTGTGGGTAATGTTGAGATTAGTTTGGGCACTAATACCACACTGGATTCTTACAAATACTAACACAAACCCTTGGACGGGTGTGGCAATTACAGCGGTCTTCGTCGCAGTCACGGCGTGGTACAAATACAAACCGCATAATCCGTAAGCCGTTAAGTCACAACAATCCCCACGCAGTCACTGTACTCTCTTTCCGCGATTTTACAAAAAAAATAATTCTACCCGGCGGGTATTGAGAATTTTTGTGAGTTAAAATTATAAGTTTATCATCAAAAATATACCTTCTATAGTTGGCAGGTCGTCCAGGATCAAGGTGAAAAGTATTTGTGCGTCAATTGGGAAAAGTCCTGATATCATAGCAGCTTTGACGAGTCGGCGTTTTACACTACCACTAAACTTGTTACTGTTCACGACCAACTCGATCGCCAACTGGATTTCGTAAATTTGGAAATCGTCCGGTACATACTGTTCCGGCATATGGAAACTTGACAGCAAGTAGCACTCCAAGTTGTGTACGGACTGCTGGTCCTCATAATACCGTATTTTGTCCGTCATATAAGTCGGAAAATAGAAAAAATCGGATGATGTTGAATAGGGGAATCCCATTGTAGTAATGACCTAGATGCAACAAGACTTTTTTTCTCGCAAAAAATGAGAGAAACTGTACACACCAGTATCGAACCGAAGTCGACGTGAGGAACAGTGATTGTTCGATTGTTCTCGCGTCAGATTGCAACTGCTTCAATTCGTTGTAACGCGTCAGAAAATACGCGAGAAAATGAACACGACTACTAAGTGAGAGTTTATAATTACATACTAGCCAATTGAATTATCATACCCAAATATTTTATCAATAAGTAATTCACAATAAATTACATTTTCATTTATCAGTTATTTTGTATTATATTCACCTGTCAAATTAGTTTGAGAATATTTTTTACAGCTTACAAATGGAAAAAAGTCACATTAGCGAAGTGCTTGTATATCTTGTTTTAAAAGTGATGCCCGTAAACACTACGACGATTCTTAAATGTGTAGATTATGTCAAATTTGCACCATATTTTGCAATATTTTTAATTTGAAAAATGTGATAGTAATTCCTAGCACCGTACATTTTTTTCAGCTTTGTATAAAATTTGTCAAATGAGCCATTTTTAAGCGATTTACTTTTGATTTACTTACTATTGCACATAATATTGCATCAACGTAGCCCCAATATCGAATTTTGCGCCCCTCCTCCATCATTCACAAACTCGGAATAGTACTGTAATAAGTTCTAAACGCGCGAATGACGTATTAACAGCGCTTTCGAGATACAGGCGCCCGGCACGTCTCGGGGGTAATTATTGTACAGAACATAATTTGGAATGCGCGATATATGGAAATGGTGTATTTTTTATCAACTTTTTATTTGCAATGCCATTTGGCGTCACACGCTTGTGTTACGCATGTCCATGGAAGGAACGGGGGAAGGAACCATAGCAGTCCTGTGCCGATAAAACAACGTCGATAGCGACGTACACAACGCGTGTCTGTTTACGCGCTGCGCGACGACCACCGCTCTTTAGGCAGGCTGTAAAAAGTCACGTTTTGTCTTGAAGAAAGGATAAAAACAAAAAAATTGCCAGTCCTTTCAATTGAGGGCACCATTGAAATAACTCATTGTTGGAGGAACTAAAGAACAAACGCACACTAGTACAGATATACCTTTATTTGTGTGTGTATGTATGTACTATGATTTTGCCCGATTCATGCATGTGATCACAGCCACACAGTAAAGATGTTGGTAGGTTACAGTCCTGTCGTACAGTCTCTACTAGCAACGTTATTTACATGGGGAATGACTGCTGCTGGAGCGGCACTTGTATTCGTCTTTGCAACCGGAAAGGTGGGTACACTGGCAACCATTCATTCGTATATATTATAAAGAATAACACTAACAGTTACCCCGTCCCGCATTTATTTTCGTACGCTATCTTCGCCGGCGCGGGCGTATAAGGGCCATGCATGGAGAAGGATCGTGGTAATTTTGCGTTTGTTTGAAATCCACCGAAATTATGTACTACTACCACCCTAACCTTTTCCAAGACTATCTTTGTCTAATTCTGAAGTGCATACATTGACAATAGATTCACCGTGTATCTATATATCGGAACCAGCTGGAAAGAAATAATAATTTGATATATTGACAGAAGTCGGGGCACGGATCGAGAAGCCGTACCTACCACAGTCAGCTGGCGCACACGTGATATTAAAATAAATACGATATTTACTATATGGGGGCCGCCATCTTGAATGACACATAAAACTAAATAAGAGACAAGTTGTGAAACGCGTTTTTCAGATTCCTACAAATCAGGACAAAAATACGGTCCGTTGGGGTTATATTAAGCCAACCGATAAAAAAATTCGGCCGAATTTGGCGTTTTTGTGTGGAAAAATCCCTTGCATACAAACATCTAATTACGCGAAGAACCTAGAACACTTTCCTGGGGTATTTAAAACTAAAAATTGGCATTCCAGCTCAGCAGCCAATCAGCGATGGCCTAACGCTTAGATGACAATTTCGGTTTCAAATACCCCGGCTTAGTGTTCTATGTTCTTCGCGTAATTAGGTGTTCGTATGCAAGGGATTTTCCCACATAAAAACGACGAATTAGGCCGAATTTTGTTATCGGTTGGCTTAATATAACCACAACGGACCGTATTTTTGTGAAAGATTGGTATTTTTGTCCTGATTTGTAGGAATCTGAAAAACGCGTTTCACAACTTGTCTCTTATTTAGTTTTATGCGTCATTCAAGATGGCGGCCCCCATATAGTAAATATCGTATTTATTTTAATATCACGTGTGCGCCAGCTGACTGTGGGCCAATCAGATCTTGTCACGTAACATACGGCCACTCACTGAGAGGATCATGTCAAGTAATATATGGCCACTCACTGAGGGTATGGCTAATCAGATCATGTCACGTAATATATGGCCACTCACTGAGGGTATGGCCAATCAGATCATGTCACGTAATATATGACCACTCACTGAGGGGATGGCCAATCAGATCATGTCACGTAATATATGGCCACTCACTGAGGGTATGGCCAATCAGATCATGTCACGTAATATATGACCACTCACTGAGGGGATGGCCAATCAGATCATGTCACGTAATATATGGCCACTCACTGAAGGTATGGCCAATCAGATCATGTCACGTAATATATGACCACTCACTGAGGGGATGGCCAATCAGATCATGTTATGTAATATATGGCCATTCACTGAAGGTATGGCCAATCAGATCATGTCACGTAGTATATGACCACTCACTGAGGGTATGGCCAATCAGATCATGTCACGTAATATATGGCCACTCACTGAGGGTATGGCCAATCAGATCATGTCACGTAATATATGACCACTCACTGAGGGGATGGCCAATCAGATCATGTTACGTAATATATGGTAATATGCTGAGGGTATGGCCAATCAGATCAAGCAAAGAAGTCTATGTTTCCTCACTGAGTGGATGACCAACCAGATCAAATCAGGTAATATATGGCCACTCAATAATGGAATGGTTAGCCATATCATGTCTCGTAATCATATTTTCACTAATGAGGGTTATGGCCAACCAGATCATTTCACGAAATATAGGGTAACTCACCGAGGGTATGGCCAGTCAGATAATTTCACGTAATATATAGTCACTCACTCAGAATATGGACAACCAGATGATGTCATGTAACCTATGTACACTTACTGAAGGGATAGCCAACGAGATAAAAAAAAACTCAATCATGCAGCCAACCAATCAAGAATCCAGGCAACAAATTCATTAATCAATCAATTAATTAAACAGTGAACTAAATTTCCAGTAGTCCAATCATCAAGTAAACAACCAGCTGACCAGTCAACTAACAATTTAACCGGTTGGTATAATCCACCTTTTTAAATATTATAACTTATATACTTCGTATTTTATTATAAAATGGAATATAAAATTTCAAATCGACATTTCGCCAAAATACACATATTAAATTTAAGCCTCGAGAGTCATACAGGTGTCGTCATGGTTCTAGGTTAACTAGTTCAAACGAATGCAAACCATCAGTGCAGCCTGTGATGTGGTAACATACAGTAAACTTGTTGTTCAATCGTATGCATTGACTGACAACTCGTCCACGTGGCCGCCTATCGGAACGCAATGTTTTCAGTTGCGCGGAATGTACTGGGATTTAACAGACTAAAGATACAATACTTCATACGCATATTCCTTCCACAAGTTTTTAGAATATAAATAATACAAGTAACCTTTATTCAAACAACAACAACCCACGCGCCGGGTATTATGTCGCGTGCCAACCCCGCCTAAATTAACGGACCATTCTATCTGAACGATTGAAAGGGAAACAAATGATTACTTGGCGTCGCTAAATACTTGTGGATTGGAATTTATAGAGTATGAAAGAACATATTTCCTATTCGTACCGCTATTTCCTGCGGTATACTTTATAATTTGTGTCTGTTAGTCATCCAGGAAGTTGAGCGTGATTTATAATAAACTACATATACAATTAATCCAAATCAAGTAGTAACTTCCGCGGCTAAGCCAAACATCTATTCGCGGGAGTTGTGTCACCAGCATATTGATTTCTTACTAACTGGTGGATCTACACACCTCTCGCGCCAACTGAAGCGTCTCAGGCTGATGGGGGCGCTATTCCATTAAATGTAGACTTCTATTCTATCATCGGCGATGCATCCGCAATTCGGACACTATGAACGGCCGATCTGATTGACCATCCGTCAGTGAATGAACATAGACTACGTAACATGGTCTGAATGATCCATCCCGATAGTGAGTGGTCAGAGACTATGTATTAAACAAGATCCGGTTGGCCACCTCCTCAGTGAGTGACAAAATTTGTCACGGTACATGATCTGCTTGGCCATCCCGGGGGCCACCCTCGCGGTGAGCTTCTTCTCAGTGAGTGAACATAATCTGATTGGCCATCCCCCGAGTGCCTGCAAATCTGATTACGTAACATGATGTGATTGGACGCCCCATAAGTGAGTGAACAGATCACTGTTATAAGACAAAATCTGACCGCGTGAATTGGCCATAAATCAGTCAGTCAGTGAGTCCAACAACCAGCCATTCACGCAAATAATCAATCATCCAGTCTGTCAATTTTATTTAGACAATGCAGAAAATGTTAGCTTCAACGTTTATTGTTTTACATGATCTTGATAAAATAAAAAATATAAAGATCTGACTACCTAATATGGCCATTTCAGACCGCTAAATATAAACAAATACGTAATGCTGTCAACGCTTTACAATGAGAACCAACGGCATTTTCTGCAAAACGCATCGTTCAAATGGTTGGAGGAGAAAACACACTTTTTTGAATAAATTAAATGAATAAATTAAAAAATCTCTAATCAAACAATTAACGGTTGTTTTGATTGAACATGATATTGGAGAAGTCTATCTTCGGCTTCTAGTTATCCATGCCACAGAGAGGATTGTTACAATACATTACAACTATTCACACGAACTAAAGTATACTTTACTGGCCACTCGTACGAGACAATGACGTCCACAATTTTCCGATTTTATAACCAGATTCCGCGCGTGGAATGTCGACTGCAAATACAGCCATAAATACCGTAAATGCCGGTCTTTTACTAGTGCAGTAATTCAACGTCTCGTGCAATAGGAAAATCGTAGAGGTATGGGACTTTCTGGGGATCAACTGCACGTGGAAGAAATTTGACTCTTCTGTATTCAGGCTTGGTCATTGCCGCATTGCTTGGTTGTCCATTTCTATCAATTGCCACGTACCAAGATGAGCGATGACCGTACAGCAAATCCGACGTTCTCTTTTGGGCGCCTTGCTTGTGATGCGGATGACGTGCGGAAGAAAATCTTAGTAACCACTCTTCTCCAAAAGGCTCCTCCTTGAAAAGACAGTCTTTACCAATTGTGCTCTACATATAATGTATAAATAATCATATTAAGTATCTAGTAAAAAAGTTAACTACAATCAAATGACAAAGAATATTAACCGTTAACATTGGACGCTGTGAGCTATCATGCTAGATGGTAGTATAATGCCCCATAGGTAAAAAAGAGAAAGAAAACATGAATTGCTGACTGACCTTTGCGTATAACTGCCCGTATTTATTCATGGCAAGATAAAGGCCGGAATCAACACCTTTCAAAATAATTGTATTTGGCTTCATGAGAAGAGAGTATTTCAATATGGCTGTGAATAAAATAGATATACTTGTAATGTAAATTTCATTGATATCAGATTTGATAAATAACAATAAAGTTTAAATTAAACCCTCACAGTCATTGTGTGGCATTTGAATTTTGTGTAAAAAAACAGTGTATTTTATACGCGCCGTATTTGTCGCATGGGACCCATATCAAATAGGACGCGGCGCGGTGACAATGAGCGAGTTTAAACACATTATTATAAATAGAAGCCACAAAAGTAACACGCAATTGTTATTAGTTCTTCTCCGACAATGAAGAATTTGTGGACATGTTTTGCAAGTTGAATAAAATTACTTTAACATTTTGTTTTAATAAATTTACTAAATTATCTGTATCAGTACGTTTTTTGATTAAAATATATATGGATTGCATTTCAAGTTGTCATACAAATTTTAAGTTGTTGAGATTTCGGGGCAAGTACTCAGGAGTGATGTATGTCACATTTTCATGAATACCGACATCATTTAGGTATTAGTGTGATATGGGGTGGTTCTAATTGTGTTGCAGTTTGGTCGCTCGCGAAGACGTCTTCATCCGGGGAATGACAACGACATCGCTGCCGAATTGCATTATGGGATATACGTATATGAGTCAGTGATAGTCTCGCATCAGGAAGAATGTTGAATCGGTCTCGTCCCTCAGCAGTATAAACTAAAGTAAATTCTTTTTAACATAAACACGCGTTACTGGGTTTGGGAGAATAGCGCTCTATTTGACAGGGATGTAAAAACTGCCGTCAATGCACGTAAAAAATACAGTATTCTTGTCGTGAGTAGCGAATTGTCCGTGTGATGACTTGAATCTTCTCTAATGAAGTCTATAAATGAAACTAGCATCTGTTTGTCCCTCAAATAAACAAATGAAAAAAAAGGTGCACAGAACAAATAACCTGTATTTTCAAGGTCCATGATTTAACCACATCTCATTGAACTTAAATATATTGACCCGGCCATAAGCTCAAGATCGAATCAGGCGGGATAAAACTTAAAATTAACAAAATAATTTGTGACATGTGCTATAAGTATATTGATCTACGTATAGCTCACTTTGATATATCTAAGAAGGTTGTCTAGTCGTTTATAAAAAAATACGAAAAAACATTTCTCTTCGTTGTTAAAAGTGACAAAAATTGATTGATTCATGTATGTTTGTTAGAAATTGTTTTGAAACACGCAGTAAGACAAAAGGAAATTGTTGTCAGCACAGTTTCCTTTGTACAATTCACTTTGATCAATGTTTAACGAATTTTGTGTGATCTTGTTTTCATTTGTGGTCTAGTAGATATTTCAATTTCCGCTGGGGAAGAATACGTTACTGTAACAAATTGTATCATTGTTCGGATGCAATTATACGGCGGGTACGTGATTGTGTACTATTCTATCAGTTTCTTTCGTTTTTATGCATTACAATTTGAACACTTTTTTTCCCTTTGCAATTAGTGTACTGTAAAAACGTTCACGTAATTTACGCCCACCAAAATACTTGACGAAATGACGTGTTTAACTCGCGGTGATCAGTTTAGCGTGTACCGTTGACACTTTGATGTCGGTATCTTGGATGTCGGCGACTAATTTGTACGCAATATTGAAAGAATTCGCTGTAACACATTCCAGCATACATGAACATGACAAGTAGCATTTTCTCACATTTTTTTGGCCCACTCATCCCCGTAGACTCAATTTGGAATTCGTTTTTCAACACACCCAAAAGACTTTAAGTAAAAAAAAAAAGTATAATATCGGGTTCCGAAAAAGAATGGTGAAAATAATGCAATTTTGTCGGTTCACGAATTTGTGGGCCAACACAAACATTCCAGCCGTTCCGATGTCCATGACTATTCGCCGCGTTTACCTGGAATGTAGCTTTCCATTATGAGCGTTTGGTTTAATCATAACGTGCGCT